GGTACGTGACGTATTTCAGCTACTCTATTATATGTTTTTCTTTCCGAAATCCATAAACGGCCGTTTTTAACAGTAATCCGCGAGAAGATTTTGCTAGGATTTAGCGGTTTCGAAACTATAACTAGGAGGGGAGTGAGTTTGTGTAATAACCCGTTATTTGTGGATACTGCGTGACAAGCTCGTACTCTGTTTTTGAGGAGACGCAGTGATACGCTTAGTTCCGGTCATTTGACGCAGTTATAGGCTGCATATCAAACTGATCTAAGGACCTATGAAAGCTGCGCGCATAGTGGGGTAACTCTGGTCTCACCATGGAGGCCATCGTCACAGCCTACAGCATCAGCCCGCGCCATCTTCTTTGTAAGAGCTGCCAACTTCACTACTGGGAGCCGTTAGCCGATCGCTGATCGATGTTCCTGGTGCCAGACACCGTGTGGCATCCCGAGTCGGCGCAGAGCCCGACATGGCTCAGCGCAGCCCCTCACGTCAGCCGGTGGAGGTCAGGCATCAAAGTCTGGGATCAATCGTGGCCCACCACGAACTGATTCAAACCGTAAGACCGGAGACCAGTTGCTGGCACATTTGTCACCACGCAAACTGCAACCTATGGCCACCAATGGCTATTCCTGCCCGGTAGGAGCTCGTTGGCCCAGCCGCTGAAGGGGGAGGGTCTTGGGGTCTCGACTGTGGCCCACCGCCGACCGATGCGAACCGTTGGATCGGAACGGACAAACGGTGGCACTCTCGATCACGACGCAGCCTCCAGCCCTACACTAGCCTCAACCAGCAATGCTTGGCATGTAAATCAACTGCAGGATCAAATAATTACTGTACAGTACGAATCGGGTGTATTAATACAGTAAAGAAAGGATTTGTGAATTCGGAACTTAAGTTTGACGGCTCATAGCTGCAACTTCCAACGCCTCTTATTAGAGGAAAAAGCCATCAAACTGCGCAGATAAGACATGCTCTCTGCATTATGGTAAATGTATAAAGGCCATCTTTGGGCCCCCAGTCGGCGTGGCAAGACAAAGTCTTGGGAAACTGGACCTAGGTATACTGTAATACGGTACATCGAGAAAAGGATAAGAGAGTAAAAAACCTACCTACCGCGGAATCCTGCGGTCTCATGGCGGTATCCGTCTCGGTGTGTGCATGAACGATGAACAAGGACGCTACGCTGCAGTGAGACGACAAGTCGACTGTGTCTGCCCAAAAAAACGGGAGACAGGGGACTTCACAGGGGTATCAGAGAGCACACTGGGCGGCTAGCACAAACGTAACGTGGGGGATGGCAAATAGGAGAGCTGCTGACAAATTCGCTGCATTTAATGGGCAAAATGGGCTTCCAGTTCTGGTAAAGCATTTAGTTTTCCAACCAATTTCGATGGAACCAAAAACCTGTCAAAATTTCTCGAAGCGACCTTAAAATGAGGGCAAAACTCATCTAAATGCTTTTAAGCCTCCCTACCATTTTTTACCTCGGTCGCAATAATGATGCGGAGCTGCCAGATGGTGTCTGGAGGCTTAGATTAGCGACAGATGTGTGGAGATTTTGAGGAATGCCAATTTGCCCGTGACTGTAGTAGGCCAAGAGTTATAGCTAGTGAGCCCTATTGGCTGGAAGCCACCGGGCGTAATAAAACAATGAATGAATGTAGTAGGCCAACATAGAGGATAGTCAGCTGCCTGCTAAGCAGCCTGAGAAAAGCAAGCTCTTGGGAACCAGGGAGTGAGGGGGGGCAAGGGTATTTCGAAGAATCGAGGATATCACAAAATCTGCGGGTGTCGAGGCAGACTCCCCTAGTAGAGCTTCTCCCCACCAGCCGCTCCACCATCAGTGTCTGGTAATGGCTCAAGAAGCTCATAAGAGTCAAATTCAGATGAAAGAGTAGAAACCGACCTAAGGATTAATCTTCAAGCTGTACAGTGAAAGGTGAAATTAGCGCCCCATGTTTTTAAGTTATTTGTTTTAGGCACAGCGGTTTTCAACGCTTCTTGCAGCACTGCTCCACCCCCATGTACTAAGTGCCTTCAGGACGCATCATAGCAACGAAAGAAACAAACACAGATTCACTTCTGGCTCATTCAAAGATATTTTGCTACGCTAAACCGACAAAAGATGCTCCTTGACACCAAAGCGACAACAAAAAACAGACCATGATGGTGGCTACATATACTACGCATATGATTGAATCGGTAGACTCCTGCCCAATTTTGGTGCAGCGCTTGTAACAGTGAAACAGCGAGGCCAAGGGCGGGGCTAGAGAGGTTAGATCAGGTACCAGAGGCACCCCGCTGTACAAAGCCCACAGGTGACCACTCCCACCACACTAAAAGGGTTATCCTCCTGGTAAGGAGGAGGAGGCCGACACATCTTTGGCATGTTATTGCAAGGCACGAAAATGTGGCGGTGGAGCGACAGTGGGCTTAGGTTCCTGAGATGCCGTATTCTACTTAGCGGCGCCCGTCTGATGTCTGTTGCATTGAGGGCAACATGAACTAGCTTTGCATTGCTCGTCGCAGTCCTAGCACTTTCGATTTCCGGGCCCTGACGTGCTATTCCGAGGAGCGACACCTGCTTGGACCATTAGGTATTTAGTGCCAAAATGCACAAACTACAATTGTCACGAGCGCACGAACGACTCATGTCGGTCTGCTCAGGCCTAGAAACAAAGGGAACGACACTATTTGTCAGAATCTTTCTTATTGCAAGACGAGGTACAATATTTGTGATATTGCG